CGTCGCGCTCTTCCACCCCGAAGAGGAAGAGGACGGGGCCGGCGCTGAGCAGGGAGCGGCCCCACAGCGCCAGGATGACCCGTTTCGCCCGGCGCTTCGTGATCGTGGCTTTGGCTCTCAGCGGGAAGCAGATGGCCAGGCACCGCTCCACGCTCACCGCCGTGATGTGCAGGATGGTGCAGCACGTGCACGTTTCGCTCAGGTAGATTAAGAACTTGCAGAGAAAATCCCCGAATATGTACGGTCTGTACTTCCAGATCCGGTAGAGGTCCGAAGGCGGGCCGAGGAAAACCAGGGTGTCCGACAGCGCCATGCTGGACAGGTACATGTTAACGGTCGTTCTCATTCCCTGCGAGCGGTCGAAAAGTAATATTGTTATCAAATTCCCAGAAACTCCCAAGAAAAACAAGAGGATGGAAATCATAGTCACAGGCACCAAAACGTGAACGTCAAACAAAGAAAAAGACTGATCCTCATAGCAGTCGGTGTCGTTTCTGGCGTGGCTGCCATTGGAGACGGAGCCCATTCCTGGCTTCAAAGCGGAGGGAAGGGCTGGCTGCGCGTACCCTTGCGCTGGAAACCGGCTTCGTGACAAGCAAGAGCCACGTTCTGTCCCGCGCGTCCAAGCGCCAGGGAAGCTGCTACACAACGGTTCTTCAGTGATCAGTTAAAAAAACAAATCAAAATGACGTTCGTAAACGTTTAGCAAACGAAGCTAAACATGTAGATGACGATTAGTCCATTTTATGAGAATGCGGAGGGATATCAGAGTCATACATCTAGCGTTTTCTAGATGCAACCTTTTAAAAACAATATTTACCATTATAAAGTTCATATTTACCCTTCCTGGTTTTTACCAGCAGCTTCACAGTGATTGGAAAAGTACCAATTTTTACATTTCCTTTCAAGTCCTGTGAACCCCACTAAGTGCCTGGCTTTCAAGATGGATCCGGTGCCGTCGCTAGACATCTGCTGCAGAGTAAGTGCGAGGAGAGGCCGTGCAGCCTGACACTAGCCGGACAGGAAAAAACCTCCGCATCTTGTTCAGCAGTTGCCAGATTCTTTCAGCATTTGCAAGCCACAGGGAGAGGAAGTCTTTAGGCTGAGAAGAGCGTTTCCGTGCGGCTCTGTCAAGGAGCGGGGAGGTTTGCAGGTGGTCCCGGCACCGGGCAGACACAGGGCACTTGCACTGCAACATGCCAAACGACTCTTCTGCCCTCGGTGCGCTTTGTGCCAGGAGGTTCCCGGAGCAGCCGGAGTTCCCTGCACAATTTCTGAGGAACCGGGTTGGGGCACTTTGATTTTTTTTGTCGTCGTTTTATGGACCATTATGGAGTAATCCATCTTCCTCCCCTCCATCTACAGGCGGCTAACGAGGCCGTGTTGAACACGCACGCTTTGCTCTGCTTTTCTCCTTACCCTGCAAAAACTGCCCACAGTTACCAGGTAGGTTAAAACAGTTCTTTGGCACAGGAAATGTAATTAGCCCATTTGGGCCAGTCATATAATTTTCCACTGTGCTGTGTTTACCTAAGGCCTTTCCCACTTGAGCTCCTCCTCAGCACGTGCCACGGCGTGCGAAACGTCTACTGGCAGCGTTTTAATGAGACTGCCACGATAGGATGGGAACGTCTTCATTTCGACATCACTCTTAAAAATGAGGCAGCCCTGACGCTTAAGCCCTGATTTACTTTCCACTTCGGAGAAGAGCAGAGCTTACGAGCTGGTAAGTGCCAGCGTGGGGGAGGCAAGGGGGAAAGCGGGCCAAAGCCAGCGGAAAGGCCAGGGAAGACTCAGGGGAGCTGGGGGGGAAACGGCGCACCGCCGGCAGGCAGCTCAGGATGCGTCCCGCCGCGGCCCCAGGAAATTCCTGTATTTCCCGCGATCTCAGCCTGTTCTCCTCCGAGCTGCACCCTTCGCAGTCTTTCCTTCTTCAAGGCTCTTCGGAAGGCAGCGCGCTGCACGACCAAGCCGTGGGGCTTGCGGGCTTGAAAGGTCAGGGCTGAGCGCAGGCAGGGCATTATGCCGACGGAGCTTCGCTCTCAGCGCTAGGGAGATCGCTGCTGCCGGTCCCAAGAGACGGGGGCACCGACCGTGTTTTTTCAAAAGGCACCTAACCACCTCAAAAAAAAAAAAAGAGAAGAAAAGCAATCGGTTTGCAAAGGCCGTGCCTTGCTGCACCTGAGACGCCGCTGCAAAAACTTTCCTAAGAACAAATCCCCAAAGCCCGGCCCTGCGCGGTGACCCGACGCCGGAGCTGAGCATGCGGCCCGGCGAGGAAGCGACCCGCTTTCCTGCTGGGCAGAAACCCTGGCGTCGGGGCAGCCGGCTCAGCCCGGAAGGGCACTGTTCG